CTATACGACATCCTGATACCGTACAATGCCGTATTGATGTCTTTGCTGGTACGGTATGGGACAGGTACGGGAAAGCGCCAGGCATGCCGATGGTACAAACAAACAAACACGGAATTAAAGCTGTGTGGACCCTGGCTAGCGCCAGACGTTACTGAAGTAACGTCTTGTGCATAGCTACGGGAATAATCTTTCAGGATGACCTCCATTGGACGGAGCATATTTAATACAAAGTCAAAGAGCCGCTCAAGTAATCTGCGAGGAGATGATTTTAATATAGCTATGAATAGGTTGAAGGCCGCAGGCTGAAGGCATCACGCAACTATGTTACTTGTTCGCCAAAAAAAAGAAAAAAAAGATTCGACGGGCTTGGGTACCGGGCAGGTCAAGAACAATGAGTCGTACAACTCCCTGGTCAAGAACCACCTTTCTGCTTCCGTGGGACGCCCTTGCCCTTTGCCCTTTGACGCCCATCGCCGGAGGCGATGATAGCAATGCTACGGCAGATGCCATAGCAACTTGTGCTGGGATTGCACCATTCAACAGCTTGCAAGGCTGAAGAATTGACCGTCACTATTCAGCCTGGTCTACACCATACAGCTATTTGAAGTGACTTTTTCTGGCCAGTGAATCCCTATTTTTGGTCTTTTCATTTTTTCCCGCACACACATCACACCGCATACTCCGGCATGCACTGGCTGTTGGTAACCACCCAGGAGAATGAAAGAAAAGTCAGGAGTCTTAGAAAGAGAAGAAAGATGTGTGTGACCATAATCGTCGGGAATCGAACCCGCATCCTATCGATTGGAAATCGCTGCACATACCACTGCACCATATGGGACGCCACCACCCCATGATCAGGCGCCATGTATGTGTATTTTATAGCAAGAAGGTAAGAAGATTACATAACCAAAGGTGGCTGAAGAATACGTATACAAACTGCCTCAACGACTTTCAAATGACGAGCTGAACGAGGACGATGAGATAGATGAAGAGGGATCGGATGGGAAAGAGCGAGATGTTGTTCGTAAGAAGACGGCTGTGTATCTACACTTGTTATCTTGTCCTGAATGCCTTAGTGTGTATGATGACTCTCTTTTACTGTACTGTGCCGTGCGCGTTATGCCCAGCAGTTGAAGGCCCTTGAGGCAGTTTGTATACGTATTCACAAGTCTGTTTTGTGTAAGCAGAAAGAGCACGTTGTTGCACTGAGGTTGTATACGTAGGTTGACACTTCGTTCAGTGCCTTCTCACCTTTGGTTATGTAATCCTGTTACATTCTTGCGCTTCCTCTAGGGTTTTTATTGCACTTGTATCATGATTTTATGTGGCATTTGCAACACCTTTCCATTACTTAACTTCATTTTCATTGCTTGGTATACCGTAGTTCCGTATTTTCCCCACTGATTATTGGAACGAGAAAATCGAATCTGGATTTCAATCATTATTGTTATAAAATACACATACATGTTGAACAACTAACGTAGTTGTGTGCTGTCTGCAGCCTTCATCATATTCATAGCTATATTTAAATCACTCGAGTCTTTCAATATTCCATTTACATTAAGGTCTTCACTCACCAATGATTCTTTATTTCACATCTATCAGATGTACATACTACCTATATTCTCATTTGCGAGCACGGCTCTCACACTGTTGTCACACACTTCCTTTGACAGGCTAGCACAGCTCCAGCAGAAAGCCGCTAGAATTATGTCTCCGCCTTCCCCTTTGCACAGACTTAGAACACTCCCACCTTTTGTATCGCACCAAATGGCCAACATTATTCCGTAGCTATGCAAAAGACGTTACTTCAGTAACATCTGGCGCTAGCCAGGGTACACACAGCTTTAATTAAGTGTTTGTTTGTTTGTGCCATCGGCATGCCTGGCGCTCTCCCGTACCTTTCCCGTACCGTACCATCAAAGACAGCTGGCCACAGGGATTATACGGTGTTGTACGGTATAAGGATGTCCTGTAGCATGTCGTACAGCAGTAAGATGAAATTGTGGGAGAAACCAGTGACGGCTTGGGAACGATGAACATTACAACAGTCTTATTGTGAGTGAGAGTTAGGCCAAGTTTCTGAAGATCAGAAGCGAGTGCTATCCCGAGCATTATGTTAGCATTACAAAAGCATAGACAGGATGCGTATTATAGGAGACCCAAGTTGCTGAAGATCAGTAGTCATCGCTGATAACGTGCAGAAAAACTAAATCCGCAGCCTCTTTTGCCGTCGGACAGGATGCGTATTATAGGAGACTGTAAAACATGCATTCGGTTGTCAGGAACAGTTTAACTTAAGCACAAGGATACTATCAAGGCAAGGACATTATTGTATTATTGTATTGTATCGTATTGTATGGAATATAATTTTACCTCATTGGCTCAACAGGTCAATGTATTACAACAAAAAGGCCAGAAATTCCGATTATAATGGAGCAAACCAAAAGTGGATGAAGTGGGAGAAAATAACAATCCCCAATAAATTCTGTAATTACGTTTGCCTAACTCATATTCAAACTGATTGAGGAGTTCTAATAACATGCATGATGAGCTAAGCGAAAAAACATAGGGTAGGGCCCTGAGCTCTCTCGTTTTCGTTAAACATAATACTCTTTACACATTCTCTGCACCACAACCATGCTCCACCACATATGCTCTCGCTGCATACTCCTCATAGTGTGCAACCTTCGTACAATTTACACCGCTCTTGTTCTTGGCACTTGCCAACTCCGATGACTGACCGCTGTCCCCATTCTACCCTGTGCACGGCCCTTCGTTACTTTAATTGCTTGCCCAACCAGCTTCGCGAAATCATTTTTGTACTCCCTTCAAATCCCAGATATCCCTGCTGTTCCAAAACTCTGTGTGCCCGTGTAGGGACCACCCCTGCCCGTGTAGGGACCACCCCTGCCCGTGTAGGGACCACCCCTGCCCGTGTAGGGACCACCCCTGCCCGTGTAGGGACCACCCCTGCCCGTGTAGGGACCACCCCTGCCCGTGTAGGGACCACCCCTGCCCGTGTAGGGACCACCCCTGCCCGTGTAGGGACCACCCCTGCCCGTGTAGGGACCACCCCTGCCCGTGTAGGGACCACCCTTGCCTGTACACTTTTAAAAGTAGTCATTATAAATTCAGTGTTTAAACCGAACACGGATTCTTCGAACGAATAATCTATCGAATAATTTCGCCCTCCATCGAACGAATAATCTATATTCTATCATATGCATGATGGCAATTTTCAACACTTTTTCAGTTTATTTTTTATTTTTTTGCTGATTATCGGATTTTGTTATGTGGAGGTGCAAACCTGGCCCTGGTCAATCGACTGGATTTCCATGTCCTCGACAGTATATCTGCCAGTATGTGCACTGCCAACTACAGGGTGCAGACATGACAGAAAAGCACAGTACACAGTGGTACATGTATGGAGAAGAAACGTTCACGGTTCACGTGAGACTCGGCTAGAAGCCGAGCTTTCCGCATCGGCAGGAAAGCCACCACCCTCTAGTCTTGGATCAAGGCACAGATGCAGCTCCTAAAGCGTTGGGGGGGGGGGGGGGTGAGTAGATCAGACCCACCACAAAGTGGTCAAAGACCGAAAATCACATTCACTGCATGCATGTTTCCATCGTGTGGAAAGAACAGAAGTATTGCTAGATACCGATAGGAGATAAAAACTTGGAGGAGAAGAGATTGAGAAGAAATACTACGAGCAGATCTACGCAGTGCAAATATCAGCAGGGTCAGCACTGAGCATAGATCTTTTTTTTTCTTTTTTTTTTTGCGATTTCTGATAATTCCTACGACTATTCGATTATTTGTTCACCCCACGAATATTCTAAATTATTCGACAATTCGATTATTCATTTCAACACTATCATTAATCCCTGTCTCCCAATTCTTCCTCACTATTTCTCCTCTTTAGCACTATTATCTCTTATTGGCCACTGGCTATAGTGAGAATAAAGATTTTAAACTAACTAGAAACAAGATAATTAGTCAGCTTAAAGTTGTTTGTATATCTAGATCAGTTGTTCTCAGGGTTGTATCTTTCACTTTATTTTGATTACTGACTATTGTTCTCACCTCTCGTTGTTCGCACTGACACTTGTATTATATTAAAGGGGAACTGTCAACAAAGATTTTCTTTGTCCTATTTTGTAGTTCTTTGGCTCCTGATCACGATGGTGTTATGTGTTTTTCTCTGCGATGACTGGAAATGAAAACTTGAAAAGAAAGTGCCCAAAATTGTCCCGAAGTACCGAGTGACGTCACGCCGGACTTGACCTCCACGCGTACATTCATCGTCAAATAACGAAGTCCACCCTGTGCGCTGGTCAATCGAGCTGGTCGATCGAGCAAAATAACGAAGTCCAGCCCGTGCACTAGTCGATCGAGCTGGTCGATCGAGCACACGTGCACCACACATTGGAACAGCTAGCTCGATCGACCAGCACATGGGCTTGACTTCGTTTTTGACGAAGAATGTACGGGTGGAGGTCAAGTCCGGCGTGACGTCACCCAGTGCTTCCGGACAATATGTGGGCACTTTCTTTTCAAGTTTTCATTTCCCAACATTGCTGAGAAAAACCGGCACATGACACCATCGTGATCAGGAGCCAAAGAACTACAAGATAAGACAAAGTATTTTTTTGGTGACAGTTCCACATTTAACTCGCGGCATTTCGAGTATATATAATTTGTTACTATTTGAATTATGTTAGCCAGTTAATCATTCTGAAGAGAAGGCAATGAAAACGTTCAAGGATACCTAGCCAGAATGGTGTGTGTATTGAATGCGTGATTTCATTTCTGTCTACACGAAAACTGAACAGGTTGAAACGGTGTCTAATTTTAGTGTACAACGTGAACATTGCGTGTACTGCCAGCGTAGCATGCCGGCCAAGCGTGTAGTAAGTGATCTGGCATTGAAAGGGTTAAAAACGAGTCAGTTCATAATTGGTAAATTACGCTATCGGACCATGTGTACTGCTTACAAGGTTTCGCCGATAGGGCTACAGCTAACGAGAATGTCATTCTGACAAACACAGTTTGTCGGGCAAGATGCTTCGCTAGATCCACTGCATAATGCTAACACCATCACTGTGGTGAATGTCGACACCTGGGCATAATAACAAGAAAATAATCAAAATGACAGGTGTTGTTTGTATTTGGTATTTGTGTTTATGGATTCTCCACACGCCTTAGTCTAAACCGAGGGAGCCTTCGTCAACAGCATAATTATGAAAAAGAAGAAGCTGGTGAGAAAATAAATATGAAAAATAGGAAGATGCAGGGTGTAGTAATCAACAGTGCTGTATGACAGCGCTACTCTACGTGGAATGAAACTAGAGGGCTCATAACAGGTAATAGCAAAGGGGGTGCGGACAAGAGCGATAAAACATTTTCGGCTGGATACAGCACGAATGGAGGGATTTCCATGTGGCAGTGGTGTGTTCACCCTCAGGTTACCCATAGTCGACAAAATATAACATGTATGTACCTTCTTCCTTTTAAAATGCTCAAATAATGTTCTCTTCAGTGCACATCAAATCAATGTATATTCCAACAAATTCGAAGTAAAGAGACCCTCATATGTTGGAGTCTGGACGTTTGCCACCGCCGTCACCTCCGCTCGCTACTCCGTATAAGGTATCCAAATAATTATAATCAAAAACACGGAACTCTACAACCGCTGTCGCACCCAACCCATCTCCAAGGACATCGCGGCGAGGCGATGGAACTTCCTGGGGCATGTGCTCCGGATGCCATCAGGGGCACCGCCACAGGTCGCTCTCGATTTTGCTGCTTCTGGTGCCTTGCGGGGAAGGATAGGCAGACCAAGAACAACACTGCTAACCACTCTCTCACTGGATTGTCGGGAGAAGCTCGGGCTTGTGCTTCTGTCGCGACCTGGCCTAGCCCAGCTTCGGAAGGTGGCGCATGATAAATGCCGATGGAATTCATTGCGAAACAGCACTGTTTATTGGCCTGGCCATAATAATACGATTACATCTGACATGCTTGCCTGCCTACTCGTGCGCACGCATGCATTCTTGCCGGAGATGTCTACCTGTGGCGACAATAATTTTTTCATGGACTGATCTTCTTTTTTAGTGTTTGCACACTCTTGGCTGCTGCTGTGGCAGTTTTGTATTTTCGTGCTGCTGCGCTCTGTATGGCTGCACTAGCCGTATTAACTGTCGTACCCAGATGCACACATTCAATCCCTGGCTATGCTTTGGAATTGTTTTCGTTGTCTATGTCCTCATCTCTCTTCGTTTTGTTTTTGCTGCCTGGGCTCTCATTTATCTTTACGTGCTTGCTTGCTTGTATTGCTGAGGGAACATATGCTGGTTTGTATTCGTGGGTCCCCATGGTGCATGGGCCACGCGTACTCATCCGGCGGATATGTGTGAATAATAATAATAATAATAATAATAATATTTTGGAGTGAAGTTTTATACATGTGTACATGCTGTGTTGCAGTTTGCAAACACGAAAGGTTCCACAAGATAACCCGTCTTCACAAAATCAGTGTAAAGGCTATCCAACATTATCTAATTCCTACGGGTCATTAAAATTGTTGCTTCGCACATTGCAATGTTTGTGACTTGCTCGCCTCGTCATGTAGGAAGTGCTGTTCTCTGTGTTCGAACATTGGTGAGACCCTTCCTGCGGAATGTCTACATGTCACTGAGGCCGTGGTGGTCTCAAAGCTCTCTTCCGCACCAAACAAATCCATCACGCTCCACACTCTTTCGCCCCAGAGTGTGTACATGTATCTTTTTTCTGGAGCTCGTGCCGGCCCACTTCGTTCGCATGGGCATTAATTTTTATCAAGACTTCAAGCCCGGGTATAAGAATCCTGGTATATCTTCTGAATTCGAAATGCTTTTTTATTTTATACGAAAGAGATAGGACCAAGGAACTACTAAAAGTTACGCTATACTGTCCACTAACACCACCAGTTACTAATCAATCAGCTCATGCGATAACATTGCACGACACTGACCGACGGTACTGACGTTCTACAACTAACTAGCTAACAGCTCTAGTACATCTTGGATGCGCACTCCAACAGCCTCCCAACTTGGAAGGTTATAAGTTATAGAAATAACATAAGGAGGGGAAGGTAATTGTCCATCTAAATTGTCATAGTCGAAGTACAATGCTGTTTTACTGAGGCGTTCGGTTTTTCATGATTCTTGTTCGCATAGCTTCCCTTTTATTGATCTTCGTATATTTTGAGCCACACAAGTTGTGTGGAATGTTGCTTTTGCATTTTTGAATCGTGGTTTGACCGTATTGTCCAATGGTCTTGCCAGTATCGTCATCGACATGCATGACATCCGCCAACGTCCTTCACAGCTGAGACTTTCAGCTCGTGCTTATCTTGGTTGCGCTCACCTTCCCTTCCCCTCTTTTTTAGTTGACAATGGCAAAAGAAATGTAGCAGGTCTGAAAACACCAACAAAATCAGTGAAGCGCTTGCCAAAGAAAGAAGGTGCGTAACTGCTTACCCTATCCCGCTAGACGGTCGTGACTGTGTACTTGAAAATGCTAGTTTGCCATCATCGCCTGCCACCTGGAGGCATGGTTCGCTTGAAACCATGATGACCTGAATTTGAACGCGCTTGTTCAAGGTCTTGTTGACTGCTGAAGGGTCTGCCTCAAACTCTGATGAAGATGTCAACCTTAGCTGCAAGTGCGGCGAAGCAGGATGCCTCAAACTAAAGCTCGGTCCGTCGACAATGCTCTGCCTCAGTTTCTAGCTGATTTCTTTCCCTTTCGAATGGACAAAATAAATTTGAAAAAAAAAACGCTCTGGGAAGCGACAATTTTAATGACGCGGAGGAAGTATACTTTTCACAGAACGAAAAGGTTTACAGTCCATTCATTGGAAACTGGCACCCTAACTTTTTGGTGTCTCCCGCACATAGTTGTAGATATCGTGAAAACAACAGTACATCCTGCATTGTGAGACCCGTGCAATTACTCCTTGCCACATTCGAGGCCAGAAAGTCCAAGAACAGGGAAATAGAAATTCAGCCTAGTTTTACAAAATTAGGACAGGTATGCCATGGCAAAATGTATGGAGAAGCGGACAAACCCAGATTTTTGAGATTTGAAGTGGGTTTTGATCCTCAATTCGGCCCACATCGGACTTTCAAAAGCCAGCGGGACATATTCCGATGAATGGACTATAGTTGTATCCCTCCCCGCCTACCCACTCCCCTGAAAGAAAGATAACATTGGCTTGACAACTGGAATGAATACTTCCTCCGCGTCATCGAAATTGTCTCAGTTTGACTAGTGACTTGTTACTGATAACAACAGAAGCTACGGCATACGCGCCTTGTCTCACACACAACGAATATCTACCACAGGACAAGAACTGCTATGCTTGTCGTCTATTTTGGCTGATTTATCATGGGCAGTTACGAATCACACTAAGAATATCTACAACATGATCTACTATGTGGTGGTTCCATCACATTGTAAGCCCATCATTAACAAGGCTCGATCGTATGCTGGTACAGAGGTGTTCAGTGACCACAAGCTAGTGATCGCTGACATGCTTTTCTGTGAGCTATTAAAAATCTTCCAAACAAAATCAAAAAAGGAGTCGCCATATGCTGTCCATGGATTAGTAAATGGCTCCCGTAGACCGGAATATCGCTCGGCTCTTCAGGCACACCTTCAAGTAACTCCGGCAAGTGATGCTTCCGGGTCAGCTGCCACATCTTCGATCAAGTCTGCAGCAGACACCACCATTGGTCATCTGCACCGATCCGAGGCTAGGAACCGTTTCGTTCAACCAAACACACAAGTTGCTCGGCTTTCACAGCGGCAACGGGAACTGCGAAAATTAGCTGAGTCCGGACACCATGATGCTGCGCAGCTGAAGAAGGAGCGCAATCGTGTTATGCATGAAATCCGTAATATGCAACGGACTGGAGCCAACTCTCGACAGAATTGCCGAGGCGGTTGAGAGCGCTCCAACCTCCGCCCAAATGTTTATAGCAGCCTCCCAGCTCAAACGTGGCAAGCCGCAGCAGCTCTTCGTCGAGTCGGCTGATGGTCACATCCTCATACACGATGAGGAAAAGGCATCTCGCATACTTGATCACTATCAGGGGCAGTTCAACACTTCTGATGACCTGCTGTCACCGCCAGCTCCGCACACACTGGACACGCCGGTTTCCACCGAAGAAGTGGAGGCGACTTTGAGGCAACTGCGAAATCAGAAAGCATGTGGGCCAGATGGTGTATGCCCAGAACTCCTGAAGTACGGTGCTGAGTACATCTACCCGATCATCACCATCATGATCAACAACAGCATCACCAAGGGCGACAACCCGTGTAGTGTTATTGGTCCAGGCATATTGATACCGTTGCCAAAACCTAACAAGGAGCGGGGACCAGTTGCAAACCTGAGACCGATTGTATTGCTGAACACCCTGCGCAAGGTCATTTCACTCGTTGTGCTCAAACGTATTACACCACGTGTGTCGCATTATCTTGGATCCACTTCATCTGGTTTCGGACCTGGCCGCGGCACTGCCAATGTGGTGTGGACATAGCGCTGGATTTCAGTTAAAGCATCCCACTTCGTGTGGGATTGACACGTCCTTGGCCTCGACACCATTAGCCGCACAAAGCTCCTTGCTGTTATGTCAGAGATTACTGGATCTGACGAGGCATGCCTGATTCACCATTTGCTGTATGGTACAACACTCTCTGTGAAAGTGGGTGCCACTTCAGCGGAGGCGTTTGTTAGCACGCTAGGTACACCACAGGGTGATGGGCTGAGCCCAGTTCTGTTCGTTTGCTACCTGGAAGCAGCACTGAGGGAGACTCGAAGCAAACTACCACCACGGCCAGACACTGATGCAGCAATAACACAGGAAACAGGATATGCCGATGGCATCTCCTTCTACTCGACTGAGCGACAATGGCTTGCCAACACCCTACCCGTGATAGCTGACGGCCTGGGGGACTGGTCACTCAACGTTTACAGCAGCAACAGAGAGTGGCTTCACATCTCTGCCTTCACCACCAAATGGCGAAGATCCAAGCAACTTGGCTCTCTCTTGGGGGAAGAGGAGGACTTGAGCCCACGAATGGACCAAGCATCAACATCAGTGTTCAGTGTGTGCTAGAATTAACACCATCATTATTTGGCATGTACCCTCACCTTGCAGAGCACAATGGCGCGCTGTCTTTAGTTCTGCTGCTTCTTCTCCGTGATGTGCACAGTCACAGCTTCTGTCCCCCCTCTGCATAGAGGTGACATAACTCGCATCCTCTTTTTTTACGCCACACTATGCGTAACGCCATGGCATGCGCCCTCAAGTCACAGAGCACAATGCAATGGTGCGCTACCTTCTGCTGCTTCTTCTCCGTGATGTGCTAGTTGCACCTTCTCTCTCTCTCTCTCTCTGCCCCCCCCCCCCTTCTGCATACTAGGTGACATAATTCGCATCTTTTTTGTCGCTACACTCTGCATATATAGTTATACTGCTCTTGTGTGGCTTCCACGGTATTCATTGTTATTACCTGACGATGGCCAAGTGCCGAAACGTTGTAAAATAACGGAACTGGCTCGGATGTGCAGCGCTATGGCAATGGGTGTGTCCACCCGAATTCCTTTCAGATCACTAGAGGTGTCTCGATTTATTTCTCGTGCATGCTGTTTTCACACCCTCAATTTTCTCCCAACATGACCCAAGCGCGCTGGAGCTTGTTTGGCGAACTCATTCTTGCCCCAGGCTCAGGCAACAACAACGATGAGTATATTAATTTTAGTTATTGCCAGTGAACCAGGACAACTGCGCAAAAGCGGTTATGCCAGTAACTTGGAAGAAGCACAAGGGATCAGAGAGATCCTGATCCTTACAAGAACAAGCGTACTTACCGGTATCCAAAGACAGCCCATGGTATCAAACTTGGTCACAGCTCGCCTTGTGATACCCTACTCGAAAGCTAATTGTGTACGTGACTGGCAAGAGCAACACTGAGAGAAAGGTTTTAAACATCGATAGGCAACACGCAGATGGAAAAGAGACAGACTAATCTCATTTCTGCTGACAGGATCTACTGGCCTAACCATCAATGAATGCTCATCAAGAATAGGGGCAGTACTCCCAGTAGTTCTTTCAGCTACGGTACTTGTAGGATTTCTTTCACTGCATCGCCTTCCTTGCTTGTGGCAAGTTGTGCTCATGCATCGCTTTTCTTGAGACCTCAAAACTAGTGTACGAGTCGTATATCTACCACTAAACTGCTTAGAACTGACAAAGCTCGACTGACCCCGACAGCCAGTGCAGTACAAACGTGGACACCTTTCCAACCGCTAGTTCCAAATGTGCTGGAACGTAGTGCGAGGGGTCAGGTCGAACTGCACAACGGTGCACGGCGACGCGCGAACTTATGCACTCCCTTGACCCCTCAGTTGTACAAAAACGCCAACACGGGCACTGCGCCACCGCCAACCTGGTCAGAAAGCTAAAGCCAAACAAAGGCGATGGCGTCAGACGTCCGCAAGAGTCAGAATATAGCGGAAAATGCCGACTTAGGCTATGGTCCATGGATGTGCGTGTGATGGATGGATGATGGGGGGGGGGGGGGCATTCGTATCAGCAAGAGTACATGAAAACCAGAGTGTGCAGCTCGGATGGGTTGCTGTCACGGCGAAATTCCGTGATTACATCATTTTAGTGATGTAGTGCGTACACGCAGGATTCAAGCAGGTCTCTTTCTGCACAACTACCGGGTAGTAGTAGTTAACTGCAGCTCAGTTGTACGCACTACGCCATTTCCCGCCTCAGATCTGGGCCAAATATGATGTAATCACGGAATTTCGCCGTGACAGACACCCATACTATAGCAGAAAAGGCCCCAAGCTGCACACTCTGGTTTTCATGTACTCTTGGTATCAGGCACAGATCTACTAGTACTAGTACTATTATTATTATTACGAAGTCTGAAGAAAATGTTGAACGGCCTCTGCTGGGATGACGACTACACCATAGCTCAGTGGTTAGAGCATCGCTGGCTACAAGCGAGGGTCCCTGGTTCGAGTCCTGGTGGTGACAGTCAATTTTTTCTTCAGACTTTTCCCGTTTGTCTCTTTCCCTCAAACCAGTTAATATTATTATTATTATTGTTATTAAATTTTTGATAGGTACCAAGAGGTTATGTACTCTTGGTACAACCAAGAGTCCATAAACAGTTTGTTTTTGGACTCTTGGTACTACTGATTACTGTAGCGCAATGCAAATAATTTGATAAAATTATAATAACAGGAATAATATCAGGAATAATAACAGGAAGTGTGAGTTACGATGTCTGAAGAAAATGTTGAACGGTCTCTGCTGGGATGACGACTACACCATAGCTCGGTGGTTAGAGCATCGCTGGCTACAGGCGAGGGTCCCTGGTTCGAGTCCTGGTGGTGACAGTCAATTTTTTCTTCAGAAGTTGAAATCTGCTGACCGAAGAACGCGCAAGCTTATGACGATGCATGGAGCTCTCCATCCACGCGCTGATCAAGCCCGTATGTATGTCGTCTGTAGGGCCTTCCCTATCAAAATAATAAATTCTACTACTACTACTACTCCTACTACTACTACTATGTACGTCAGTCGGAAGGAGGGTGGACGTGGTTTGCAAAGTATTCATGATGTGGTCACCATGGAGAAAAGCAATCTGCAGCGTTATGTGCTTCAGTCAGGCGAGAAACTCCTGAAGGTGGCTGCGCCCATCCTGTGGCCACATCTGGATGCCCCACCGGACTCCTCGCAGGTGGTGAAGTGTCGGCTTCAAAAAGAACACCTCTTGGCGTGGAGCCAGAAACACTTGCATGGACAGCTTGCCCAGCAAACTGAACAACTGACCAACGAAATGACCTGGAGTTGGCTGACAAATGCTGGTCTCAAGAAGACCACGATCAGTAGACGTTGAACCCCACCATTGCCATGACTAGTTAGTACCGTGGGTCCCTACCCGTGATCTTTCTTTATTTCACGATTACACAAAGGCTAAACGCCAACGCCTACTGTAAAAGCAGAAATTTTCGGTGGTGTAATATTTTCGGTATTCTCCAAAATCGGCGGTTCGGTAGAGGGAAATTTTCGGTAAAACCCGTTCTCCAGATAAGTGTACTAGTACTACATGACTGTATACAGTATCGGTTGTACCGAAATTTTCGGTGCGTTTTATTATCGGTAAAAATTGTCGGCACCGAAGTTACCGAAAATAAAACACCACCGAAAATTTCTGCTTTTACAGTGTCTGGGGGATCTTCGAGAGGAGGGAAAGTACGCAAAGTAAGTTTGAAAAGTTGGATTACAAAATGATAAACAGGGAAGGCCCAGTCCAGCTCCACTTTGGTCACAAAACAAACTTTAGATTATGTTTAGCTTTGACTGTAAAAGAAGTGACCAGCAATAGGTGAGCAAAGAAAGAGAAAATATAGAGTCTAGGGCAGCGCTAGCGCTCTGCGTTGGAGCATATGATTGTAAGCGTGCAGAACTGGGATAATACATGTAAATGATGAAAAGTGTGCTTCTAAAGAATACGATGTTGTTGTTGTTGTTGTTGTTGTTTCAAATCTTTATTCTCACGATAGCCAGTGGCCAATAAGAGATAATAGTGTAAGAAAGGAGAAAGAGTGAGGAAGAATTGGGTGGGCAGGGCCTAGGGGTTAATGACTACTTAAATGTACGGGCAGGGGTGGTCGCCACACGAGCATACAGAGTTGCGTACTTAAGTGTACGGGCAGGGGTGGTCGCTACACGAGCATACAGAGTTGTGCAACAGCAGGGATATCTCGGATTTGAAGGGAGTACGAGAAGGGATTTCGCGAAGCTGGGTGGGCAGGCAATTAAAGTAATGAAGGGCCTTGTACAGGGGAGAATGGAGACAGCGGTCAGTCCGCGGAGTTGGCAAGTGCCAAGTACGAGAGCAACGTAAATTATACGAAGGTTGCACGTTGCTAGCAGTATGCAGCGAGAGTATATGTGGTGGGGCATAATTGTGGCGCAGAGAATGCGCGAAGAGTATTTGTTTAACTTTAAAGCGTGAAAATAATGTTGTCCATTTGATGCGATGCAAAAGGTGGGAGTGTTCTAAGTGTGTGTAAAGGGGAAGGTGGAGACATATTCTGGCGGCTTTCCGCTGGAGTCGTTCTAGCCTGTCAAGGGAAGTGTGGGACAACGGTGTGAGAGCATTGCTCGCATATGAGAATATAGGTAGTATGTATGTCTGATAGATGTGAGATAAAGAATCACTGGTGAGTGTAGACCTTAGTCTAAAAAGAATATTGAAAGACTTGAGTGATTTTTTGACTATGTATTCAACATGCTCCGTCCAACGGAGGTCATGCTGAAGGAGGAGGAGTTGTTGTTGTTGTTGTTGGTGTTGTTGTTGTTGTTGTTGTTGTTGTTGTTGTTGTTGTTGTTGTTGTTGTTGTTGTTGTTGTTGTTGTTGTTGTTGTTGTTGTTGTTGTTGTTGTTGTTGTTGTTGTTGTTGTTGTTGTTGTTGTTGTTGTTGTTGTTGTTGTTGTTGTTGTTGTTGTTGTTGTTGTTGTTGTTGTTGTTGTTGTTGTTGTTGTTGTTGTTGTTGTTGTTGTTGTTGTTGTTGTTGTTGTTGTTGTTGTTGTTGTTGTTGTTGTTGTTGTTGTTGTTGTTGTTGTTGTTGTTGTTGTTGTTGTTGTTGTTGTTGTTGTTGTTGTTGTTGTTGTTGTTGTTGTTGTTGTTGTTGTTGTTGTTGTTGTTGTTGTTGTTGTTGTTGTTGTTGTTGTTGTTGTTGTTGTTGTTGTTGTTGTTGTTGTTGTTGTTGTTGTTGTTGTTGTTGTTGTTGTTGTTGTTGATGATGTTGTTGTTGTTGTTGTTGTTGTTGTTGTTGTTGTTGTTGTTGTTGTTGTTGTTGTTGTTGTTGTTGTTGTTGTTGTTGTTGTTGTTGTTGTTGTTGTTGTTGTTGTTGTTGTTGTTGTTGTTGTTGTTGTTGTTGTTGTTGTTGTTGTTGTTGTTGTTGTTGTTGTTGTTGTTGTTGTTGTTGTTGTTGTGTATTTTACTTCGATGTGATGCTACATATTCAACGGAATTCCACTGCAGTGAAACCAATGCTCGTAGAACTGTTTGTGCAGTTCTTACTTAAATTCGCTTAAACTGGTAAAGGAGGTGATCTTAGGGGCAGACAATTCCAGAGGGTGCTGTATTTATGGAAAAAGAATATTTGAACAGCGCTGTCCATGGTTTGTCCATGTTAGCTTATTGGGACATCGTGCCCTGGTTAGATAGGTAGTGGGGATAGACTGCCAGAGAAGAGACAAGAGAGATGCGTTGCCTTCTATACTGCAAAGACTCTAGAAAACATAGCTTACTATTATTATTTCTCCTTTATTCACTTCTTTCGAAGGCGATAAGCCAGACCCACCGGGAAATATTTCCATGGGTGGGACAGCAAAAAAGAAAGTGAAAAACAAAAACAAAAATAAATAAATAAATAAATAAAACCTAAAAACCAAAGGGTCAAGAACTAGTTGAAGGAAGAGGAAGAAAGGAAAGAAACTCAATCCGAACTCCAACATCAAAACAATAATAAAGAATTTGCAGCGACAGGCAAAATACATCAACCAATGAAGGGAGTAGTAACAAAGGAAATATCAGTCTTTATCAGTCGTTATTCAAGTCTCTTAGCTATTGAACATGCAAACGCAGCAGAGGTGCATCTACATGTTAAGGATAGTTCTTAGTATTTTAATCGAACCTTGTATAGCCTCCTGTTGCACAATAGCCAGGTCTCCTCCCTGCACAGTCCGAAGGCATTGAGGAGTCTCCCCCACCAAGCCTCCCAGGGCACCGACAACCACAGGGACCACGTCAACCTGGTTGAGGGACCAAATCCTCGAAATCTCCCGCTTCAAATCATAATATTTCGAGCGCTTTTCAGCCATTTTCTTATTGATGTTGTTCTCACCAGGAACGCTGATGTCTATAATGTAGGCGATGCGCTCCTTGTCATCAACAAGGAGCAGATCGGGCCTGTTTGCTGATAGTTTCAGGTCAGTTGGGAATACTCCCAATAGAGGCGATACTGATCACTCTTGACCAATGCCTTGAGCTGGTGGTCGAATCGTGAAGCACCAGTAGGTAGATCTCGTGCTTTACACATTTCGAAGTGCACATACTTTACTATCCGCTTATGTC